AGGACAATTTTCAAAATAAATGATCCATGGAATACCATTTCAAGATTTGTGATGAGAAAATAAAACTATTTCCTTCCGGTTTGTCAGTCACCCAGAATTTTTAAGGTATCCTGTTTATGTAAAAAATCACTCTGAAAACTTTTAACTTACCTTCACAAGCCAGAAAATTACTCGGCCGAATATGCCCTAATTGATCAACATGGATTCTCTGCGCATCTATTAATACATTGCACCATTTTATCAACCTCCCTCAGAGAATTTCGCCTACAAGAAACAAAAAAAATTCTGTTTACCGTCATTCTGTAAACTGCGTTAGGAAGGTTTAAAGTTCTAAGCAATTTAATTGAAACATTCACAGCTCACGAAAACAGCTAAAATCCTTTCCTCCTTCTACCTCACTTCATCTCATAGCATCATTAACTCCTGAGCCTGCGAGACAGGTGCAGTTTTTTAGCTTACAAAGGAGAGCGAAATCACGCGCGCGAGTTCCTCTCTCATGCATGTTCACCTCAAATCTCCCACACCTGGTGTTCTGTTGTGAAAACCTTCATGGTTAGACGATAGTTCATGTCTGGTCCTCAAGCTCAAGGAACTCGTCGATGCTTCCAGCTAACTTTCAATGTAAGACAACGGTTTTCTTGCTCCTTTTCCCCGAGAAGGAAAACAGCCTGCACCACGAAGAACTGTAAAATGCAAATGAGTCGAGACATTTTCACGAGCAAATTTTCACCTCTCGGATTAACCCGAAACTACAATTGTTATTCTATTATGTGCATGCAAATTAACCTTCTTGGCTTCGCTTTGAGTGAAAACTTTATTGATCTTTAAACATGTTGTCGAAGCCAGAAAAAGCCAATTCATAGCTTGGAATATAAAATAATAGCAAAAAGGCCCACTATTGATGAAAAAATTCTAGAAGTTGGTTTGAATCTGCTTTGCGAATTCCCCTAAGCTGTACTTGAATTTAATTGAATTCTTCTGGCTGACATCGACTAGCTCCAAGCTAAATCGGTTAGCTTTAGTGCTCATTACTTTCATAAATTGGTGAATAATTTGGTAGATGATTTTGTTTACATGAGCCCAGCCGTTTGCGAGAAATTAAAAAACATCGAAACAATAGCAAACGTTAACCTGACCAAAACTGCAATTAAGCACAATTTTTTGTGTTGATTCAAACATTTGTGTCCCTATAAATCAACAAAGGCAAGTATTGGAATGGTGAGCCAAACATCTATAAATTTGTTTATACAATGAGCGGCTATAGATTTGTTAAAACTAATTTAAAATCACAAAGACAGATGATGTCGAGATCGTTGACTGTGTTATCATGGCTGGTATAAATTAAAATAACTTCCCAGCGTCGCACGAGATTTGAAAAAGACATCAGATAGTTCAGGAGATGGTTGGATCACGCGTAGCCTACATTTAGGCAAATTACCACTTAAAACCTGTTATTTCCATTATCTGCTATGACTTTTATGTTGCTATTGATAACACAGAAAGATAAACACGAGGATATAAAGTCTGAGAAACTAGAAGGGGGATAAAATCTCTGTTAAATGTTTTTTCCTTGTTCTAGAGAGCGCAATTACTAAAACGGCATTCAACATAGTTGTAATCACTTTTATTTAAAATGATTAATGATATGGCAAAAGAACTGGGTGTTAGTTTCGAAACGCGTAACTTGTGTACTTTTCTTTTGTGTTTGTTCCGGTCTATTATTTCTTCGTTGGTTATTAATGATTATTACTTAATAAGTTTTTTATTTCAATCAGTTTCATGGAAGCACATGTACCAGATATTATAATTCATATTTCATCGCTATAACTTGCTGTCGACGCCACCAATTTTGTCTGCTATTCACGTACGATCCGCTATCAGCGATTTATCTACAATCATTAGGAGCTAAACCAAAGTAAGTTTTTCTTTATTTCACATTTCAGATATTTCCTTTTTTTTTTTTGATACGTATATCGATATATTTCTCGCTTTCAGTTCACTTTATAATGGCTTCA